TCCAAGGCTTTACTTATTTACTCTTTTGGTCCTGGAATGAGTAATTATTACAATTACTGTTACCCAATTACCTGCTTTCTTGATGCTGACAGAAAGATTTAGTGCAATGCAAAAGTCCTGCTAGGTCCTTGGGGAGAGAGTGTATCTTCTGCTCCTCCCATTGCCCCTCACCTCTGCAGCCTTCACCCACACCCACCTTGGACCTTCCAGTGAAGTCCAGAGGCATGCTGAGAGGGGCATAACGGGGCAGGAGTCTTCTGAAAAATTGCCCCTAAAGAAAGATTACGTTGACATTTGATGTTTAAAATTTAAATGTAAATAGTTGCAAAGGATTTAATTTCCAATGCATTGTTAGTAGTATGAAAGAAAAAAATGTCCCAAAACTGTTGGTGGCAGTAATTTATTTTTATGAAGCAATTTATAGTTCCTTCCATGAAGTAATTGTGATTCTTGATAAAATGCCTGAGTAATTTCCGAATAGACTTTCAGGGGATTAAGAAATCCTAAGAAGTTAGGGTTTCTCACTCAGCTATCTTAAAATTCATCCATCAATCAAACTTTGGCTATTCTTTGGTTGTGGCACCATTTCTTTTTTCTCTAGCGATCTGTTCTAAAAGAGAATTCCTGAATTGCCAGTTTGAAACAGAATTTTTATTCGTACTAATAACAACTTTATCTGAGAAAGTATTGTAACCGTTGACACTTTAAAATAAATTTGCTACATCACTTTTAATTATAGATGATTATCATAATGATTTTATATTCAGCATCACCTACATGAACACTATAGGAATAAAAGTTATTTTTTTTGACACCTAAAAGTTTAAATTTTCCTTTTTGCCCATCAAATTCATATTTCTACCCTCCATTTTATCCTAATATAATATTTCTTACAACTGAAAGCTTAAAATTAAACTCTGATAATTTTCTTAAACAAAAGTAAGTCAATAAATTTTTGTGACCATAAGGCTTTACTTTCTTTTTCTGGGTTGAGTTGTTACAACTTTTATTATTACTTCATTGATAAAAATGTACAAATATATTATACATTCTTATAAATAATTATTAAATATAAATTTTAAATTTTATTAGAAATACACCTCTTAATTAAATAAATGGGGCTGGTTTATTCCAACTCTCCAAGAAGAACATGTATCCATAAATAGAAATGACCTATTACTAGGGAGAGCTAGGGTTCACCATCAAGTCTATTCTTGTTTTTTGTTTTTAAAATGTAAGCTCTGAGGAGCGTTGTTCACATAAGTACATGGGAGTGGAAGGAGTTTGTTATAGTAATATTACTCAACTCTTTGGACTTCTGAGTTATATTATGAAGTCACATTTAAAATAACATATCTGCCAGCTGTCATGACTAGGTACTCTTTCAACTTTGTTGAAAGCAAGGAATGGAAAAAATAGTTTGCAACAGCAATAGTTCCTCCTCCTACGGATTCAAATCAGACCTTTTGGTAACTTGAGGGTTTTAATGCTCAAGGGCAATGCCCAGGAATGTAAAGGTAAATTGGCTCAGTGGGAGAAAAAAAGGGGAAGGCGGGGGACTTACAAAAAAATCTCTGCCTTACAGGTTTTGCTCATATTCTTAGTGTAAATACTTCTATAACCACAGAACCAGTCTAAATACTTCTAGAACCACAGAACTGGCCTCCTCTTATTTATCTATATCTATAAAAGCCTAATATGCAAATTGTCCCCTCGGGAGTTTGACCAGGAGACCGGGAGTTTGATCACTCTTTATGACATGCGCTGACTACCAGGGGATGGTGCAAACGAAGGAAGGCCCTGGCCAGCAGCCAACAGCTGGTGAAGGGAGGCCCTGGCTGGCAGCTGGAAGGCCCCAATCGGCCCTGATCACCAGCCAGGCCTAAGGACCCTACCCGTGCATGAATTTCATGCACCGGGCCTCTAGTTTCTAATAAGATACTAAGTTGTTTTTCAGAGATAACAACAGAACAAGGCCAAAAATCTTGAAGTTGGACAGTAGACATGTGCAATAAAGAAAATTCACTCTAGAATAATTTTTCATCATCAAGGGCTCAAAAATCCACCAGGGATGCATACTAACCACCCCCAAACTCAAACATATGAAGTATGAAAAGCCATGATTCCCTAGTACCTGCTCATTAGGCCCCCAAGCCTGTAGTGCATGCGCACTAGGCCCTTGTTGATAGCTCCTTTACACACCTGATTATCCCTTGGAAAGGCTGTGCCTCAAGGCTCCCTGTGCAGCCTTTTGAAGACCACTGATTGCTCTGTGTGCTTCGTTCACTAGATCTTGGCTCAGATCCTGCCTCCTGTAACTTGTAATGTTTGAGACTGTGGGCATATTGTTTCACTTCTCTACATCTCAGTGTTCTCCTACCAAGTAGGAGAAGCCTATGCCTACCATCCAAGGAAGTAAGAATGGTGGTGGTGTGTATACTGTGTTGGCATCCAGCAGATGTTCCACACATGGGTGTTACTATCACAGTCCTCTTTTATTTTTCTGTTAATCCTCACCTGAGGATATTTTTTCTTTTTCTTTTTTAAATATATTTTTATTGATTTCAGAGAGGAAGGGAGAGGGAGGGAGAGATAGAAACATCAATGAGAGAGAATCATTGATCAGCTGCCTCCTGCACGCCCCCTAGTGGGGATCAAGCCTGCAACCGGTACATGCCCTTGACCAGAATTGAACCTGGGACCCTTGAGTCCGCAGGCAGATGCTCTATCCACTGAGCCCTGCACTCTATCCACTGACAGAGCCAAGGATGTTTTGTTCCATTGATTTTTATAGAAAGTGGAAGGGAGGGAGAGTGGGAGGGGAGAAAAGAGAAAGAAAGAAACATTTATGTGAGAGAAACTCATTAATTGGTTACCTCTCTCATGAGTTCTGACCAGGGCAAAGATAACCGGCAGCCCAGGTATATGTCCTTGATGGGGAATGGAACCTGAAATCCTTTGGTGTGTGGCCAATGTTCCAACCACTGAGCCACACCGGCCAGGGCCAGAGTCCTAATAGAGTTGAAAGGAAGATACTTGAGGGTTGATGCTTGGGGTATACATTTCAGGGGGAAACACAGGGTTAGTTTTTGTTTTGTTTTTTCTCTCCAAAGCAAATGACTGCTTTGGTTATCTTAAAATGCTCTTTTCAAAACAGAACTTTCAGCTTGTTTCTCTCCCTTTTATACAATCTTTTATCTTATGGACTAGTAGCCTGGTACATGAAATTCATGCACGGGGGAGGGGGTGTTCCTCAGCCCGGCCTGCACCCTCTCCAATCTGGGACCCCTTGAAGGATGTCCTACTGCCGGTTTACAGGGATAGGGCCTTAACTGGCAGTTGGACATCCCTCTCACAATCTGGGACTGCTGGCTTCTAACTGTTCACCTGCCTGCCTGCCTGCCTGATTGCAACCCCTCTGCCTGCCTGACTGATCGCCCCCAACCACCCTCCCCTGCTGGCCTGATCTTGCCCCCAATTCTTGCATGGCAAGGGTGGGGGAGGAATTCCCTCAGCCCAGCCTGCAACCACTCCAATCAGGGACCCCTTGGGGGATG